TGCTTTCACTAAGGTCACCAATGGCCTCCATATTTACAAACCCAGTGAATGGCTTTCTGCCACAGTATTACTTGATTATTTGATATCTCTTAGGTATTTGACATTTTCTCTTAAAATGGAATTTTCTCTTGGTTTTCATTACTTTCCCTTTCCCCCTTCCAGTTGGAAGCTCATTTTCAATGTTCTTCATGGTATTCCCATTTTTCTTTGTTGGCTTCCTCTACAATCATTTAGATACTGGTGTTATCCTTGATGCTGTTTTTACTCTATAAAGTTCTTCTGAATGATTTATTCAAAATTATGGCCTATATTTCCAACTAATTCTGATGACTTCAAGTCTGTATCTCAGAACTCTTGTGTTCCAAACTTATGTTGCAACTTGCTGAAGGACTATTTCCACCTGAATGTTTCATACGCATATAATATTCAGCATGTACAGAACCAAGCACATTTTATTTCCCTGAAATTTTCCTCTTTGTCTTATGGTGCTAACATGCATGTAGTTTCCTAAGTCATAAATCTAAGTCAACCCACATTTCTCCCTTTTCCTTGCTGCTAACATTCATTCGCTAACTCGCTGTTTCTGTCTTGTAAATAACATTAGCATCTGTTTCCTTCAACTTATTTGGACTTTACCACATAAACTCAGGTATTCATCATTTCTTGACTGGTTAACAATACTTTCCTAATTGCTTTCTTTCCAAATCACATCAGTCCACTGAAATAATGCCATTCACAGTTTCCCACTATTTTCATGATCAAGTTTAAACTCTTTAAATACACAGAGTTCTTTATGACTTCTTTCCACTCCACTAGCTTTATCACTTTTGTGTGTGTGCACTATTCTCCAGCCATATCAAAATATGTTTAATTTCTCCAAATAAATCACATTTGTGCAATATGAATAACACTAGAGTAATTTGAATGCACTAGAAAAAGTTATCAAACTTTTTCTGTAAAGGGCCGGATAGCAAATAATTCATGTTTTGCCAGTCAGAGAGTTACTGTTGCAACAACTTGGCCAATGTAGTGTATAAAAACAGCCATAAATAATCTCTAAACTTAATGAACAGGCATGACTGTGTTCTAATAAAAGTTTGTTTACAAAAATAAAGGCTTGACAGATTTGGTTCTTCTTTGGTCATAGGTTGCTGACTCTTGAACTAGAGTACCATGGTATATAAAGAAATCCTGTCTTCAATCCTTTTATAGAGCCAAAAACTAATTTTGATTTTTGTGCCAATTGGGATTTTCAAATGTTAGGTTTAATTTAAACAAGGTACACCTGTACTTAAGATACATTAACCTCAGAGAGATCTAGGACAAAAAAGTAATTAATTTCCATCCACAAACTATATTCCTGGCCATAACAAACTTAAGCTTTCCTAAGTGTTCCATAAGTCTATGCTTTCACTTGGAAAATAAACCATCTTCTAAGAATTATTTGCTTCATTGGATTTGACATAGTAACTTATCCTTGTGGTTCATTTTACTTTTTCCTGATGTTAAAGTTTCTTGTAAATCACTTCTTGTTTCTAGATGTTTGTGTCACCAGAGTAGTGGAAAATTCAGAATCTGATCAATATTGGGCATGGCAGGGAAAGACTGATATCACTAAATGCTTCTATGATCAATTATGTCATTGGGCAAGCAGACTAAGTGTCCTTACTCTGAAGGAAAAAGTGAAGTTAGAAATACTTGGAATATCTTCATTTCCAGGTAAAGTTTTAAAAATCTGATTTTGAAATTTAATCTAGGGACTGATGATTAAGGAAGGCTATGATAATTTCCTCCTTAGTAAAAGGGAGGAAACAAGGGGTAAACCAAGGGTTTAACCCAACATATAAGCAGAGTGGGTAGCTATCTTCTGTGGTCTAGTGTTTGTGAGCCTCCCCCACATCTCTGTTATCATACTCTGAAGTTATTAAGCATTAATAGACATGAATTATCTCCTTTTAAGTGTTCTCCTTTTCAGAGAAATAGCTGTTAAGTTTTAGTATGGTAATTATGCTAGGCAACATTCCATTTGAATTGACAATGCCCTTTAAGAATAAATCAAGTAGAAATAAATTGCTATCAAAAAGAGTAACACATCATGAGGGAATTATTACCCACTATGACCATAGTGTTGAGATTATCATCTTTGACCCTGTGGATTAGGGCAAGAGAGGATAATGCAGTCACAAAGGGAAGGAGCCTGGAGCCTTGACAACAAAGGTCTACTACAGCAACCATGGATTACTTACACATAGATGAACATGAGGGGGAAAATATACAAGCCACTTAAATTTTGGTTAAGACAGTGAATATTCACTTGTTTTTGTGTTATAACAGCCCAATTTCCTATATCACAACTAATTTAAATTATTTATCATCATCATCACCACCATTAATATTGCCATTTACCAACACACAGAGAATCCAGTTTATGTTTCAGTCTACCAAAATTGCTAACAGAAAAGTTAGGAACTTGGTTATTAGATATTTTTAAGACTTTATTAAATAGATAAAAATCCTGGCAATCACATGTATATATCCAGGAAATGTAGAGAGTTGTGTATGAAATGAGCCAAGACTCTTCTTTCTGAGTCTCAGTTTCCTCATGTATAAGAGAGGAATTATTATGTGTTGAAACACATAATTTCTAAGGCTTCTTCCATTTATAAATGTTATGATTCTAACAGTCTATAGACTGTACTTCATTTTTCCTTGTCAGTCAAGGAAAGAAAGTGAGTTCTTGAACATGATGAGGGGAAAGCTATATTTAAGCCGAATTATGGCTTCAAGAAGTTGACTGTTAATTTTTTTTAATGCTGTGGTAACAATATCTAACATGTGCACTCTCAACAATGATCCATTATATTCAGAGAAATCTATTTCTATTTTAACATAAGGGAGTATTGATTCAAAGTGGTGCTAAAGATGACTATCCTCTCTCTCCAATTCCTATACATTCTTCTCTTTTTTCCTCTTTCATAGGTAATATCTGAAGTGCACTTAGGCTCAATAGTTCCCAAGTTCATGGTTTTATGATCACTGCCTTGTCTTCTTCTTCTTCTCTACTATTCATAGTTTTCCCCTTTCATGTCAAATATCTTTCTTGCCAATGCAAAGTATATACAATGGAAGAAGAGAAAATGCTCCCTGGTTTTAACAGTGGGAGGTAGAATTGCTAGCCTCATGAAATTCCTTTAAATTCTTAATCTGTGATTAATCTATCATCACTACACTTAAAAGGAATAGAGCATTGACTCTCATTCCAGCATGTCTATCAAATCTAAAATTCTTTAAACTGAGAGTGGTTATAAAATGTTGCTAATGTAGTTGTGCCACAATATTGTTAGCCCAAAAGAGTAAGTTTCAACAGATATGAAGCCATTAGGAAAACATACTTAAATGAGAATACACTTGTGATTCCCATTGAAAGAATACATTTGTAAGTCAGGATAAAATAGATTGTGTCTCAAAAGGAGACAATAATCCAAATATCATTTACTTAAAATAGTAAAACTTTATTTTTATTTAGGTTTCACATACAATATAGGTTGATGGAGTGGAGGCTCTGTCCAAGGTAATCATTAAAAACCCAGGCTGAAGGAGGATCTATCTTAAAAAAGTGCTTCGACAATCACCAAAGAAAGATAATTGAGAGACTGAAGCTAAGCACTGTCAATTAAATTCTTCCACCAAGAAATGACATGTGTCACTTCTGCTCACATTTCAATGACCAAAGTAAGTCATGTTGGCCACACCTAGTTTCAGCTGGGCAGGAAAGTGCATTCCTACCATATGGCTAGAAGGACTGAAATATTTCTGACAGTCTTACTGCCTGCCACAGAGTGTAAGACTGTATATCATGTGACCAAGATTTCAGATTTAGTTAACTACTAGATATGTGAGCTTTTAACTCAATGGACTTCATTATCTTCCACACTGGTTTGTTATCAGGATCAAAGAAGTAATGGAAAATGAAAAGTATAAACCATTAATCAAATGTAATTTTTTAAATGAAGTCTTTGAAATAAATGCAGGAGTACAAGGCAAAGATTTGACCATTTTCATGAGTTCCATTCTAGATGTTTAGCTTTTCTTCACTTTATTTCCTAAGCACTTTCAGATTCTTAAAAGCCTATTAGGCCAGAGGAATTCAGAACATTAACTTAGAAATAAGGGAACAAATGAGTCCCCTCACTTGCCCTTAAGTTTGACTTGAGGCAAATGATTTTTACTTTAACAACTTGTTAGGTTGTAAGTTCAGGGTGACCTTCGGTTTTTCAAAAATTCTGTTTGGAGAAATGCTGAAAACTGGAATATAAGTTGCTAAGATTGATTTTTCAACTCTTGGGTCTTACCTTGGGTGGACTTGAGCTTGAAAAATAGAGACAATATAGTTAAGACCTTGAAGGAGGTTTAGTTTAGTTCCAAAGTAAACACTGCATGGAGAGTTAATGATTTCTACCAAAACACTGTACCTTTTAAATATGCCTCATTTTCAAATGGATGAAGTGAGACCCAAGAAGCCTCTCTGGGCTTGATAGAAAGAGCACTGGTGGGAAAATTCACAAGTTGTTCCCGGTTCCCTCTGTGTACACACAGAATGGATCAGGGACATACTGGTCCTTGCTAGGATGGAGGCTAAACAACTCATCTCCCAGGGTATGTTTCTAATGACCCTCTTCTAGGACAAACTTCCCAGCACCATCTCTGTTTCAAACCCCTGAGATTGTTCCGGGAACTTCTGAAACTCCTCTGGGGCCTGCTTTGCTTGGGGTAAAACACAGGCAAAAAAGTTGAGTAAGCAAAAAATGGACATGAACTTGAGCAAACTCCAGGAGATAGAGGAGGACAGGGAAGCCTGGCATAGTGCAGTTCATGGGGTCACAAAGAGTTGGACATGACAGAGACTGAACAACAACAACAACAAAGCAAACTGTCACAAAAGTTTCAGCAAAGATAAGTCAAAATATAAAGATGGTCATTTCTTGCACACAAGAATCTGATTTCTGTATCAATGAATGGTTTTAATTCTGATAAAAATAGTATATGTCTAGACTGTTGGGAGATAAGGAAAGGAAGGGCTCAGATTAAGGAGTGTGGCACATTCATCAGGAGGGAGGTCTCCACAGTCTCTTGGCCCTCCTGGTCTGGCCTTTCCTTGTGATCTCTCGCCTCTTGGAAGAACTAAGACTATTACTTCCACTCGGGTTGTCACTAGGTGGCCAGGTAAGGGACAGAGGAGCATCAAGTGACCCCCAACTCTCTTCTTCCCTTCAGCCTGTGAAAAAAGTGAAGATGACTGGGTATATACTCCAGTGTTGCCCAGTACAGCTCTATCTCACTCATCAGTCAGAAGCTGTGTGACAGAGGCCTGGCTAGAGACATGAACAGCTTTCTTCGTGTCCCCTGGTGTCAGTGATGCTGGCATTTGGGTCCATGTCCTGGAAGGAGCTCAGGTCTACCCATATCAGTGGATGCTTCTCACCAGTTTCAGGTAAAACTTTCACCTAATAAGTAGTGTGTTAGCACTGGAGCCTGGATAAGCTCCTTGGGGACTGGAACCATTAGATGAAATATTCTTCCTTCTCCCTGCCCTTAGCTGAGTCATTCTCCATTAGGACAACACTGCTGGGCTTGCCACCTGCAGGTTCGTAGGTGACGTAGCTGCCTTTGTTCTTGTACAGGTAAAAGAAGATCAAAATCACGACAGAGAGCAGGGTGAGGTGTTTTCCCAGCACCACTTGTTAAAGAGATTGTCTTTTCTCCACTGTATAGTCTTGCCTCCTTTGTCAAAGATAAGGTGTCCATAGGTACGTGGATTTATCTCTGGGCTTTCTATTTTGTTCCATTGATCTATATTTCTCTCTTTGTGCCAGTAGCATGCTGTCTTGATGACTGTAGCTTTGTAGCATAGTCTAAAGTCAGGCAGGTTGATTGCTCCAGTTTCATTCTTCTTTCTCAAGACTGCATTGGCTATTTGAGGTTTTCTGTATATCCATACAAATTGTGAAATTATTTGTTGTAGTTCTGTGAAAAATGCTGTTGGTAGCTTGATAGTATGTATGTGTCCCTAGGTTTGAGGTGGGTCTCTTGTAGACAACATATATAGGGGCCTTGTTTTGTATCCATTCAACCAGTCCTTGTCTTTTGGTTGGGCCATTCAACCCATTTACATTTAAGGTAATTATTGATGAGTATGAGAAGGCAATGACAACCCACCCCAGCACTCTTGCCTGGAAAATCCCATGCACAGAGGAGCCTGGTAGGCTGCAGTCCATAGGGTCATGAAGAGTTGGACACGACTGAGTGACTTCCCTTTCACTTTTCACTTTCATGCACTGCGGATGGAAATGGCAACCCACTCCAGTGTTCTCGCCTCGAGAATCCCAGGGATGGAAGAGCCTGGTAGGCTGCCATCTATGGGGTCGCACAGGGTCAGACACGACTGAAGTGACTTAGCAGCAGTATGACCCCATTGCCATTTACTTTGTTGTTTTAGGTTCGAGTTTATAAACCTTTTCTATGTTTCCTGTCTAGAGAAAATCCTTTAGCATTTGTTGAAGAGCTGGTTTGGTGGTGCTGAATTCTCTCAGCTTTTGCTTGTCTGTAAAGTTTTTGATTTCTTCTTCATATGTGAATGAGATCCTTGCTGGGTACAGTAGTCTGGGTTGTAGGTTTTTCTGTTTCATCACTTTAAGTATGTCCTGCCATTCCCTTCTGGCCTGAAGAGTTTCTATTGAAAGATCAGGTGTTATCCTTATGGGAATCCCCTTGTGTGTTATTTGTTGTTTTTCCCTTGCTCCTTTTAATATTTGTTCTTTGTGTTTGATCTCAGAACCGAGAAAGCACTTAGGGACATGCAGAGTTAGCTGCCGAGGCCCCAAATGTAATTTTTAATTATCCATAATTCACTGATGAATTATTGTATCTAAAAATAGGGGCATGAATGCTTCTTCTGTAGACAGAGTGTAAAATCTCAATTTGTGGGAATCTGGAATGGCAATCAAATAACAGCAACCATTCAGCAATAAATTACTCTTTATAAAAAGTAGATATACAATTATTTACTTGAAATGGTTTGGGATTTAACTCAAATGTTTTTACAAACACATATCAGTCACATAATATGCCAGGACAGCTTCACCTGAGTTTAATGACACCCCTCCCTTTTTCTGTCACCTGAACCAGTGGTATTTTGAGTTACCTAAAAAGGTGTCATCAGATTCTAATAAGAATGCTCAAAGGGATTTTAACTATATTCAGATTTTCCTTTCTTAAAGCAACAGCTTTAGTGAGATGTAACTCATATATGTGTTTCTCTTTTTAATAACTCTGTGCTATATGGCCCATTGAGTAGAGGCAGAGAATATCACAAAACCAAAATTAGAGGCATAGGGGATACTGCTTTAAAAAAAAAGGCAAAACAATGTTGTGACTGTTTTGTTTATGGTTGTTATTTTAATTTTTGTCTTTTTCTCTTTCTCTGTGTCTCTAAGTCTCTCTCTCTCTCTCTCTCTCACACACACACACACACACACAGAGTTTTGACAGTTTTATTATCTTCCCTTATTCTCCTATTCAAATTATTTTGATATGCCCTGGGGCCTGGTATCAGAGGGTAGCCTTTGTAAAATCTAACAAATGAGTGAAAGTCCTAAAGAGAAGTGACTCCATGAGTGTGACTTTCTGATTTTTTTTTTCTTTTTTAGGACTTTATCTTCCTTTTAATAAAACTCCCCACAAATCCCTGGATAAATGCCATAGGCTATAGATATTTAGCAAAAGTTCCCTGGGGAAAATGTATGAAATTTCTAATGCATTAATAATGTTACATTTTGCAAAGTCTGTAAAACTTTCCAGGCTGAGAAAATCCAAGATAAATTGACAAATGAGATTTTATATATCGGTCTTCCAGATTCACCCACAAATAATGGTATGGTAGAAGATACCAAATAATTCATAATGACACAATCCTTTGCAATCAAATTAATGATTCAAATGTAAATGAACTCTTAAGAAGAAGGGGAAAAATATAACCCATTACTCAGAGATGTATACCTTTGCTAAGATTCTACTTTATTTCGCTGGAAGTCCTCTCGTTCTTTTGTATTCTTGGCACAATTCTCCATTGGTTGTCTGACTCATCTCTAATCCTTAAAATATTCTGATTTTCGGCTAGAACTGTGGTTTACATTTGTGCACTGTTTGTGTATGAATGGTCCCTGCATGTATGTCAGAGTAGGGGGAATGCTCATGCCTTTCATAGTCCATGGACCTCAGATCTAAGCTACTTACCCCCATAAATCTACAGCATTAGCCTTAAGGGAGTGTTCTGCTCTGGTTTCATGCTTAGTGAAGTGTTTGATTCATCATTTTGCATCTCTCTATCTGTACCACTCTCCTCCATCCCCTTCTTTGTCTTGGATAGCTCATTTTATGTTTTAAGTTCTGGGTCATGGGTACATTTCTTCCCCCTAACAGGAGCTGGCCTTAAAGATTCAATTTTAAAAATACTTTCAAAATTGAAGTAAGCAATTTTCTCCCTCTCTCATCTCTGTCTTCATTTCTAGAGTTAATCAAATTAGACAATATCAAATATTTGCTGCACCCTTTCCCTCAATGCATATATACAGCCAGATCAATGGGAAAATAGTTCCTCCAGAAATGCCTGGGGCAAAATAGAAGGGCATTTGCAGAAGGGAGGCTTGGAGAGATCATTTAATCCAGGCCCCTGCCTTCAGGCTGCTGCCAAATTATTTAGGTCTCAGAATTATTGCAGCTCCCCTTGAAGATCTATATAGTTTCCATCCAGGTGTTTCATTCTAGTCTGTTTCACTAAAATATCCAAAAACCATCTTCCTTATATCCCATTGAAACAGTTTTTAAAACTGTAATTTTATCCCACTTCCTTATTTATCCTTCTATATAGGTAGAAATCAAAGGTTTAAAAATCCCCTCTAAAAAAATATTTCTTATACACACAGACACTATTTTGGTCACCCTTCAAGTCACAACTTCTTAGGCTATGTGGGTTTTCGGATGTCCTTAATGTGTTGTGTTCTAGGTTTCTCAAACCTCTTTGAAAACTTCTTATCAAGAGATTCTCTGAGGTAAGAGTAGAAAGGCAGTCAATACTGAAAAAAAGGAAAAGTTAATAAAGAAGGAGAGCAGACAGCTTAGGAAGGCATATACTTTTCCAGCACTACCATTCCACAGTTCATCAAAATTGAAAACCTAGAAATCAACCCCTTCTCATTCTTCTCCTTCATGCCACATATACAGTTACCAAGTCTCACCATTTCTATGCCTATCTCCAAAACCAAGCCCTTGACCCCTCTTTCACCATCACTTGCTAACTCACCCCCACCATATCCATCAACACACAAACAAGCCCTGTGTGTAGACTCAAGGTCTACCCTTCAACAGTTTGAATGAGCATCACTGCAACAGCTCTTAACCAGTCTATTTTCAGTTTGCCACCTAATTCATCTTCCAGACAATACCACAAAATTATATTACTAAAATGTCAATTTGAACATTATTTCTTCTGCTCTAAATCATTGGATGGTCACTACTACCTAAAAATGAAGTCTATTTTTTTTTTAAATTTTATTTTATTTATTTATTTATTTATTTTTTCCATTTATTTTTATTAGTTGGAGGCTAATTACTTTACATCATTGTAGTAGGNAAAGAATTCATTTGAATCAGTTCTAATGAGATGGATGAAACTGGAGCCCATTATACAGAGCGAAGTAAGCCAGAAAGATAAAGACCATTACAGTATACTAACACATATATATGGACTTTAGAAAGATGGTAATGATAACCCTGTATGCAAAACAGAAAAAGTCTATTTTTTTAAATCTAATCATAGGAGGGCTCTATATGTGTTTAGTTTAGTTTACCTGTTTGGCTTCAATAAAATAACATTTCTCCATTCATACCATATGCCCCTCCATTGTACTGGGTAATTGTTTTTCCTTAAATAGGCTACATACTTTTATGCCTTTGTGCCTTTTTACTTATTGTTCTTCTCTCTCTAGAATATTATTTTTGTCATGCTCCTGATTTAACCTACTTAAACATTATCATCTCTGTGGAACAGGCTCCAATCTCCCAGACATAGTTTTTCATGTGTCTTTTTTTAACTCTTAACTCATAATTTTTCAACAATTTATTTTTATCTATAACTCTGCTACTATATTGAGAGGGACTCTATCTCATTCACTTTGTATTTTCTTTTTTTTTTTTCAATGCCTGGTATAGTGTCTACTCTAGATTTAGTTCTCTGAAGACTTTTTAGGATGGGTAAATGGATGAAAATGAGGATAAAGAAAGGGAGCTGTGATAGACAGATGGTCAAACTGGAGGACATCCCATAGTGGTTATCTATACCTTTGTTTGGAAGGTTGGCTTATGTCAGTTTGAGAAATAGGGAACTTGAGTTTTTGAAGTTGGGTCCCCTGGATGAGTAGCTAGCTAGCCAAAGGCAGAAATTCAAAGGTATTTAAAAGCTGTGGCTAAGAATCATAATATGAGAGATGGCTATTTGCAGGCACCCATTTCTGGGGCCCTTCTTCCTGTCCCACTACTTACAAGCAACCTGCCCTCTGGAGCTTCATACTAGACTTAGATGCCAGGCTCTTCCTAGGTTGCTGACATTAAGAATATACATGTTCCAGTTGTGGAGTTGGCAGGGGTTTTATTTCTGTGAGGAAACTTCTGTAAACAAAGTACTCTGTTTTGTTTTCCTCCCATCTGGCTTCCATCCATACCGGATTCCCCCCATCCTCCACCATTCCCACATGATGCACTACAAGCCAAGTTAGGATGGCAGCTCTCATTCTGAATCTGACATGACACTCTGAAGATCTTCACCAGTCAAATTACTCTCCATAGATTGCTTAATCTCTGGAACATGTTCCATAATCACATTTTTCTCCTCACTACATTTCATTGTCTCCTTTCTTTATCTCTTTGCTCCATTTCCTTTCCTTTGCTGACAGCAGGTGGTCAGTGGTGTCTTGGAAAGAGAACCTGGCAGCAATTTAAACTCAAAGCAACAGAAACTGTGATTCAGTTAACTATTATTTGCCAAGCATAGACTTTGATGGGAGATCGGGATTTTTCTTACTGACTGCATAGGTGGCCAGGACTGAGGGTAGAGGTGTAATGTGGGAAAGTGGTACAGAGACAAGCAATATCCAGATTTGCAACCTTTGTCAGTCCATCAAAAGCCAGCTTGATTCTTCCATACTGTTTACAAAATGAGACTAAAATTCCTGGAAATTATTGCCTCAGAATATTCATGGTTAAACTGGCACTGCACCCATTTTACAGATGGTCACTGGTGAGAGGAGATGTCACCAAAATCCCTCATAGTAAAATTGAAAGATACACACCAGGATAGAATTCCCTGGTGTCTTCACCTTCAGGTCCTATGTACTTGCTGAAATCTCCTTGAAGTCAACTTCATTCAAAATTTATTTATATTAAATTTTCAATTCTAGCTCCATCTTCAACAAAAATTAGTTTATAAGCCCATTGTCTGGCTCTGTAGAGGCAAAGGTGAATTTCAATGTATTCTCAGTTCCCTGGGTATATTCTCAAATGAACTACATTTTCATTTTAAAATACCAATTTTCTCAACACCTAATGAATTCACAAATATCTAGTTCTCAAGGATGTGTAATGAATCCTAGAAAGATTTTAGGAAGCAATAGCCACTGGCATAGCATTTTACAGCTGAAAAAAAATGGAGGCTTAAAAGAGTTACTTGAAGAATACAAATGATAGAACCTAGTTTCCCACACCGGGCCTCCTTCAGCTTCCCTTTTTGGGGAGCCACCTAAGTATCCATTAAAGATAGAACAGGTAAGTCTCTTTGCTGTTTTATTTGTCTAATATTCAGCAAAAATCAAAGCTTTTGACTGTGTGTGGGCAAAGAAAGGGAGGGAAAAGAAAGGCAAGGTGAGGCAGAGCAGGCATCGGGTCAGAAGTAGTCTTGCCGCTTGCCCAGAATAATGAATGGGTGAGTTGGCCCCATGCCACAAGTGATCTGACCACATCCTGGCTTCTCCATACCACATAAAGACTATGACATAAGACAGGCAGTGCTCCACTTGGCTTTCTTTGCTAACACTTCACATCAGCCTATTATTTTGACATTCCCACAGTGTTACTACTGTACTATTAGAAAGGGAAAATTGGCAGGCAACGCTTATCTAAAGTTATTTAATTAAAGCTGACAGCTTTAAAATGTGCTTCTGAAGGGGACAAAGATAGATTTCAAATAACTATGTGCTAGTCCTCAAATAAGCAATGGGTCTTAGATTTTTCTCCACGGCTTTACCAAGTTTACACGCCATGTTTTTCTGGAGCACCTGGTTCAAAGACAGTAATAGTTAAGAAAATGATACACTGCCCAAGGGTTATTTGACATCTAAACACCAGGTCTAGGTGAGAAACTAGACATGTCAATTTTTTAAATCCCCAAATCATAGAAACTCTCAAGAATCCACCTAACTTGATATGAGAGAAGAGGTTGAAGATGAAGATGTCATTAAAAGTTCCTTAACCCACTGTCAACTCTGGCCTTCCAAACCTATTAAGTCATTATTTTGTTCTCTTTTTCACTTTGTCATTCATTATGTATTTCATTCTATTTCTTTGACTTTATTTTCTCTCAGGAGACAGTATGGTATATTAGAAACAGCATGGACTTTGGTAACAGACTAACCCAAATTTATAATCTTGTTCCTTTGTGTCTGTGAGACCTTGGGCAATTTGCTTACCCACTCTGTACTGCTATTTTGTCATTTGAAAAACAGGTATGCTTATAACTACCTCGTGGGTTTGTTGGAATGATTAAATAACATTATGAGTGAAATAGAAAGCTCTTGACTATTAGTAACTTTATTTCTGCTTTTCTTTCCCTGCTTTCTCTGTCAGGTATCATGCTTACTATGCTTCTTCTTGCAGAGTCTTGTTACTACCTCACAGGATTAATGGGCCAGTGTGCACATTGCTCAGCCTTCACACAGAATCCAGAATGCAAAGTATGACAGTGATTCCAAGCATGGGATTTGGGGTCAGATTGCTTCAGTTCAAACCCTAGCTCTGTTACTAGCCGTGTTTCCTTGGGCAAATTATTTAACTTCTTCCAGGCTTAATTTCTCTATTTGTAAAAGAAGAATAATACTCCTACTCCATAGGATTTCAGTGAATATGTAATGGGTTAATTCACATCTCAGGCCATAATAGGTGTTCAATAAATGCCTTGTTAAAAATCCATTGTTAAAAAAAATCAACTGCTATCTTCTCAGAGAAGCTTTCCTTGACAATGTATTAACAGTTATAGCCATTACTCTTATTCCCTTTTATCTCACCCTGTTTCATTTTTATTCTTAACAATTATAAATCTCTGACTAGATATATATTTATCTGTTTGTATATTTGCTTCTGTTTATCTTGTTCCCTTTCTAGCATTAGAACATTACGTCCATGAAAGCAAGCTCTTTTCTTTAATTCCCAACACCTAGAAGAGTACTTGGAACTTAGTTGGTACTAGGTAAACATCCACTCACTGGATGAATGTATTCTACTTAAGGCATTTCAATAAGAGGAGACTCTCAGCTCTTTCAGGATAAGGTGGTCATAACCTGAGTGTGGGAGCCTTGCTATTCTCTATTGATCCTCCTCCTAGGAAGACCATCTTGAAAGCCAAGTTAAATCCTCTGGGTGACTGGAACACTTGATTACTTAAGTGAAGACATAAACTCCTGCTTACCTGGCAGCCTATAATTAATTCACTAAGACATCTTGTATTTTATATGGCTTTTCAAAAAATATTCTGTTTCTTTAAAAAGCCATATAAAATACAAGATGTCTTAGTGAATTAATTACAGGCCTCTTTAAACTTTCTTCCAAGGTCATACAAATTGGGGGGGTGGTTATTACCTTAATAGGGTAATCCTGGATCTCAAATCCTGCCTTTTCCTTTTTAGTAGTATAGTACCAAAGCATATATGACAGGTCAGTGAGAGTCAGAGCAAGTCTCTACACAGTGGGAGTGAGTAGCAAGGGAAGTTCAAGCCAAGTGGTTCCAGCCAAATGCCTCTAGACACCTGCATTGCCCATGTCTACTTGTAAATCATAGGAACATTGAAATGCGAATCTTCACTGTCAGCTTGGTTTCTACTTTAACCCTGAGATCTTCTGTTGATGTTATACCTGGCTAGGTGTTGTCTATTTGGTATTCATGACTCTTTTCCCTCTTCTGATGTGAATTTCTGCATTGTCCCCAAAGCCCGCCCTCTGCTTATTTCCACACAGCACTATTATTTTTAAGAAATAAACTGTAGCACATGTCAGGAGAGAAAAGGGGATCAGGCATTAGCTCAGGGAGACGCCTAAGCCATTGTGCAGTGGCAGAGTGAAGCACAGGCACGCTACCAAATTGTGAGAGGAAATAGCTTTGAGCCTTAGCATTACTCATATATGTTTTAGATGCATGACCTTCAAGTGGCAGTAATGAATATCACTTTTCCTGTTGATAAATATTGATTACTCTGTGCTAGTGGGAATCTGAAGTCCATTTGGATTTGATAACTACCAGCTGTGCCTTATTAAGTGGCTACATACCCCTCAACATGTTTGGATGCTTGGGTAACTTCTGTTGTTGCTGCTGCTGCTGCTGCATCGCTTCAGTCGTGTCTGACTCTGTGCGACCCCATAGACAGCAGCCCACCAGGCTCCCCGTCCCTGAGATTCTCCAGGCAAGAACACTGGAGTGGGTTGCCATTTCCTTCTCCAATGCATGAAAGTGAAAAGTGAAAGTGAAGTCGCTTGGTCGTGTCCGGCTCTTAGCGACCCCATGGACTGCAGCCCACCAGGCTCCTCCGTCCATGGGATTTTCCAGGCAAGAACACTGGAGTGGGTGCCATTGCCTTCTCCAACTTTTGTTGTTACGCACCTACAAATTTTAGATTAGGGCTTTCAAAGCAAATATGGATCAAAGAAGATTTCTGCCAGCACTTCTTCACTTTAGACCTGATTCCAAAGGTAGAACTGAATTTTAATGGTTTGTGTAGGTGAGCCACGTACACTGTTATTTACTTGGCCACATCTTTATTAACTGTCAGCAACTATATCTCAGGGAGCATATGCTATAAGGGTGTCCCATCTGAGTACTGTAATACCCCATTCTAAGGGTCCATGCTGTGGGTCATTTTAGAGGTAAAACATTCTTCTGCTGACATTCTTCTGTAGAATAATATCTCTTTGTGGGTTTAAGACACCTGGTTTGGGGTTGATGGCTTCTTGGTCTCAAGTGAATTATGATGAACTAAATTCCATAATGTTGGAGATCAGCTGTGAAAATAAAAAGCACCTTACTTAGCACAGGCCTGAAAATAAATAAAACTTTGGGGCCCCAAGATGTGTACACTAATGAAAACTGGGCCTTTTGCATCTAGACTCTATTTTTCATTTCTAATTCTGCTTCTCATGTTTGATTTCATGGATGATAAGTTTATTGTAGGGTCTTTGCTTTATTTTCTTTTGGTGGTGGTAGTTGTTTTGTGATCACAACAGAATATGATAAGAGAAGGCAAAAGAAAGAATGGTAAAATGCCCATAAACAAGAGAGAGGGACAAAGTGGCATCTTTTTTTTTTTTTTTACAGGGTATCAAAAAAACATTTGGAAAAGTGAAGGTGTTTCTCTTTATAGAGTAGGATGGAGAATACAATGTCAGAGATTTGATTTTCAGGCAGTGTTCCCCATCAAATGTGTGATCCTCATAAAGTATTATGAACCCAGGAAGGTTTATCTTCATACTGAGAGTGTGACTGTCTTTCACCTTTTTTCCGCCCTCTGGAATTCATACTCCAACTTCCCTCTCTGAGCTTGACTTGGTCCTGATCTTTTCCTATCAAAACCTGCTCATCTCCTTCATTTTCACTCAGCTGTAGATGACTAATAACAGTGTGGTATGTTCCCTCTCCTAGGAGGATCACTGTGTAAAGATTAAAGAACTAAAGTGAAAAGACACTTCTCTAGGATAAAGTCCAGGTGTCCATCCACAAGTTGAGGAAAGTCTGAGATGCGTGTGTGGACCACATGTGGATATCAATATCCTCCTTATTACCTTGAAATCCTACCAAGGAGTATACTTTAAATTGCCCTTGCTCAGAAAAAGTCTTGGTTCAGACTCCTGAGATTTCTTCCGTTAAACATGTGGTAGAGATTGAAATTTATGTCCACTGCTGGAGTTCAGGCAAGTTAAGGGCTAAAGGAAGACAGAAAGTTTTTTCCATTTTTTTTTTTTTTTTTTTTTGCACAGGTTACTGAGGAAATAAAGGGAAATGGAGAGGCCATACGCTGTCTGGTGTCCCACTTGGTCTGAAGGATTGCTACCCGAGACCCATGGAGAACAAGAGTTAAGACTGAATCCAAATGAATTATTTTTACAATAGTAACAGGGAAAGATAATGTAATAAGCAATATTGCTTCAGTGCCCAAGTGAAAAAATGCTATAGATTGGGGGCAGAGTAACACTTTCCCCCTCTTATCCAGAGTGGCATTAACACAGTGAGATCTGAAAAGACCATTAAGTGTTATCTTGGTTCTTCACAAGATTTGCTACTTTGAAGAACACAAGAAGAGATTATCCTAAGCAAGATATCATGGTCCCACAAGATGGCATAGCAGCAGTGACTGCAGTAAAGTGACATTTTCAGTGTCCTCTTGGGGAACAGATATTGACAAAGACCTGAAATGGATGAATATGAAAATATTGCTTCTGAAATGGATGAATATGAAAATATTGCTTGTCAGCACAGGTGAGAAACTGTATAACTGTATACATAGATTCTCCTGTATAACTTGGTGACACTTTGGGGGAGAGACTCAAGGGGTCCTGAAATATGCAAGTGGAAACAATAAGACAGCGATATTCATACTGATATTACAGTTCATGTGACCTCATTTGTAACCACTGGTTGAAGATGTCTGAGGTGTTCACACTGTATAAACAAGGATGGCTCTACTAAATCAGAACTTGCCAGGTATGCATCTGAGTTTTCTTTCTTTTCTTTTAAGCAATGAATATGGCTTTCTGCTTAAGAATCTACAACCTTTAAACAAATCTCCTTTTTGGTTAAAAGCACACATCTCTGTCAGAGCTATCCTGGTGGAAACGTGTAAAGCTAACTTGTCCTCATAAGAATCAAATTCACAGCCTTGACCTCATTAGTATGTTCTAACCATCTGCGTTAACTGGCTGTGATCCTGGGAAACATTTTCCTTCTGAATTCTCAAAACTCAATAGTCTCAGTAACATGATAAAGATAAGTTATGAGTAAAAA